TGACAGAAAACTTCATTTACCTGGTGAAGGAAATAGATATATAAGTCCAGGAAATGCAGAGAATCCCAAACAAGATGACACAAAGACACATCATAATTAAAATGGCAAAGGTTAAAGACAAAGAATCTTAAAAGCAGCAAGAGAATAGCAATGAGTTACCTACAACGGAGCTCCCATAAAACCATCAGCTGATTTCTCAACAGAAACTTTGCAGGCCAAAAGGGATTAGCACGAAATATCCAAAGTGATGAACAGCAAGGACCTATAGCCAAGATTACTCTATCCAGCAAGGCAATCATTTAGAATCAAAGGACAGATAAAGAGCTTCCCAGACAAGAAAAAGCTTAAGGAGTTCATCACCACCAAACCTATTACAAAAAATGTTAAAGGGTCTTCTGTAAGAAAAAGACAACAAAAAAAGATAAAAAACATGAATAATAAAATGGCAATAACTACATACTTATCAATAATTACTTTTAATGTAAATGGAGTAAATGCTCCAATCAAAAGACATGGTGGTTGAATGAATAAGAAAACAAGACCTATACATGTTCTGCCTACAAGAGATTCACTTCAAATAGAAAGACATACAGACTGAAAGTAAAAGGATGGAAAAGAATATTTCATGCAAATGGAAGCCAAAAGAAAGCTGGAGTAGCTATACTTATGTCAAACTAAACAGACTTTAAAGCAAAGTCTATAACAAGAGACAAAAAAAAACCCAGCACCCTGGCCAGTTTGGCTCAGCGGTTAGTGGACCAGAGAGTCCTGGGTTTGGTTCCCACTAAGGGCATGTACCTCGGTTGCAGTTTGTTCCCGGCCCCGGTTGGGGTCGTGTGGGTGGCAGCCTGTTGATGTATCTCTTTCACATCGATGTTTCTCTCTCTCTCTTCACCCCTCTCTCCCTCCTGCTCTATCTGAAGATAAATGCAAAAATGTCCTCGGGTGAGGATTTAAAAAAAAAAAGGACCCAGCAATTCCATTTCTGGGTATTTACCCAAAGAAACTCAAAACACTAATTAAAAAAGACATATGCACCCTGATCAGTGTGGCTCAGTTGGTTGGAACATTGTCCTATACACTAAAAGTGGTGGGTTTGATTCCCAGTCAGGGCACATACCCAGATTGTGGGTTTGATCCCCAGTCAGGGCACATGCGGGAGGCAGCCAGTTGATATTTCTGTCTCACGTGAATGCTTCTCTTTCTCTCTTCCTCTAAGATTAATTTTTTAAAAAGACATATGCATCCCTATGCTCATTGCAGTATTGTTTTATAATAGCCAAGAGATGAAAGCAACCTAAGTGTCCATCAATAGACAAATGGATAAAGAAATGATACATATATTCAATGGAATATTACTCAGCCATAAAAAAGAGTGAATCTTGCCATCTGCAATAACATGGATGGACCTAAAGGGTATTATACTAAGTAAAATAAATCAGACAGAGAAAGACTCCATATGATTTTATACCATATAATTTCACTTATATGTAGAATCTAAAAAACAAAATAAACAAATCAGAAACAAACTCATAGATACAGAGAACATGTTGATGGTTGACAGATAGGAGAGGGGTTGGATGGATGGGTAAAAAAAAGGGAAGGGATTAAAATGTACAAATTGCCAGTTATTAAAAACAGTCACAAGGAGTAAAGTACAGCATAGGGAATACAGTCAATAATGTTTTAATAACTCTGTATGGTGTCAGATGGCTACTAGACTTATGCAAGTAATCACTTTGTAAGTTATATAAATGTCTACTCAGCATGTTGTACACCTGAAACTAATGTAATATTGTATGTTAACTGTAATTAAAAAAATAAAAAATTATTTAAAAATAAATTAATTCTTCACAGAACTAGAACAAATACTTCAAAAGTTTACATGGAACCAAAAAGACCTCGAATAACAACAGCAATCTTGAAAAAGAAGAACAAAGTAGGAGGGATAACATTACCAGATTTCAGTTTATACTACAAAGCCACTATAATCAAAACAGCCTCGTACTGGCACAAGAATAGGCATATAGACCAGTGGAATAGAACAGAGAACCCAGAAATGGACCAAGGCAATACGCTCAATTAATATGTGACAAAGGTGGCAAAAGCATACAGTGGAGTAAAGACAGCCTCTTTAATAAATGGTGTTGAGAAAATTGGACAGCTACATGCAAAAAAATGAAACTGGACTATCAACTCACACCATATACAAGAATAAAGTCAGAATGGATAAAAGACTTAAATGTGACTCATGAATCCATAAAAATCCTAAATGAAACAGTAGGCAACAAATTTCAGACATCATAATAGCAGAATTTTCACTGATATATCACCTAAGACTCATAAAGGAGAAAATGAACACATGGGACTACATCGAACTCTAAAACTTCTGCACAGCAAAAGATACAGTGATCCAAATGGAAATGTAACACACTGTATGGGAGAACATAATTGCCAATGATATATCAGATAAGGGGTTAATTTCCAACACATATAGAGTGCTCATACAACTCAGCAAAAGGAAGACAAAGAACCCAATTAAATAATGGACAGTGGAACTAAATAGACACCTCTCCAATCAGGACATACAAATAGCTAAGAGAGATATGAGGAAATGCTCAACATCACTAATCATCAGAGAGATGCAAATTAAAACAGCCATGAGGTATCACCTCACACCTGTCAGAATGGCCGCCATCAACAAATCATCAAACAACAAGTGTTGGCGAGGGTGTGGAGAAAAGGGGACTCTAGTCCACTGCTGGTGGGAATGCAGACTGGTGCAGCCACTATGGAAAACACTATGGTGTTACCTCAAAAAATTAAAAATTGAACTTCCATTTGACCCAGTGATCCCCCTTCTAGGAATATACCCTAAGAAGCCTGAAACACCAATCAGAAAAAATATATGTACCCCCATGTTCATAGCAGCACTATTTACAATAGCTATTATCTGGAAACAGCCCAAATTTCCATCAGTAGACGAATGGATAAGAAAGCTGTGGTACATATACACAATGGAGTACTATGCAGCTGTAAGAAAGAAAGATCTTTTATCCTTTGAGACAACATGGAGGGACCTGAAAAGTGTGCTAAGTGAAACAAGCCAAACAGCGAAAGACAAGTATTATATGATCTCACTTATTTGTGGAATATAATGAACATAACAGTTGGAGCAATGAGGTAGTCCCAGAGACATGGAAGTGGGGTACAGACTGACAATCCCCAGAACATGGGGTGGTGGAGGAGAGATAAACCACAGAACTTATATGCATGTATGCATGAACAATGGACATGGACAACAAAGCTGGGGACGGCGTGGAGAAAGGGAGGGGGGAATCATTAGGACAAAAAGGAGAAACATCTGTAACAAAAATAAATAAATTAATAAAAAGAAGTAGATTCCTAATAGTGATCAAAAATAAATAAATAAATAAAAATGACAACGAAAAACAAAAAGATCTTTCTCCAGTAAAGGCAAGTGGTTTTTAAGAGTGCAGTGACACTCTGTGTGACTTCCATGCATCTGTCCTACACACACACACACAACTTTGTGCTATTGGAGAATCAGATGTATTTATGCTAAAATACCCTGCCCCTGCTGCTTAAAAAAAAAACAAAAAAACAAAAAAACCAATGCTTTCTTTGAAGAGACTCTTGTAGTCTTACTTAGACAAATTCTTTTCATTAAGCTGTTTTTTCAACCACCCACCGCCCCTTGCACAACCATAAAAGCCATTTCTGGCTCAGAAGTGCCGACAAAGAGCTGCTTCCTAATGTGTGCACTTGTTTCCTCTGTCTTAGGCCACCGTCCCGGGGTTTCAGCTAAGTAAGCCTCAGTATTTCTCCCCACTTGCCGGCTTTCCTCAAGCCTTGGCCACCCTGGTGACGCAGCCTCCTCATTAGTATTCTCTTTCTCAGGCCGGCGCCACACAGGGGCCTCCAGCCTGCTGGCCAGGCCTTCAAGCTATCAGTGCGCCTACAGCTCCAGCTCATTTGAGAAGTGCCTGCTTCTAGGAAAGTCCTCTGGCACAGGCAACATATTCCCTCTTCAGCACAAAAGCCCCCCAGGAACCAGGCCACTCGGCTGCTACCTGGGCTCCGGCTACTGTCATGCACTCACCTCCCTAGAACAGGCAGCAAGAAAGCTTCCAGCCCAGGCCCTGCCTCCCTGCTCACATCAGGACTCCAGGAGGAAGGACTGATGGAGAGGAGGGAGAGCTGAGGGCCTCCCTGCTCACATCAGGACTCCAGGAGGCAGGACTGGCGGAGAGGAGGGAGAGCTGAGGGCCTCCCTGCTCACATCAGGACTCCAGGAGGAAGGACTGATGGAGAGGAGGGAGAGCTGAGGGCCTCCCCGGTCACATCAGGACTCCAGGAGGCAGGACTGATGGAGAGGAGGGAGAGCTGAGGGCCTCCCTGCTCACATCAGGACTCCAGGAGGCAGGACTGATGGAGAGGAGGGAGAGCTGAGGGCCTCCCTGCTCACATCAGGACTCCAGGAGGCAGGACTGGCGGAGAGGAGGGAGAGCTGAGGGCCTCCCTGCTCACATCAGGACTCCAGGAGGAAGGACTGATGGAGAGGAGGGAGAGCTGAGGGCCTCCCTGCTCACATCAGGACTCCAGGAGGCAGGACTGATGGAGAGGAGGGAGAGCTGAGGGCCTCCCTGCTCACATCAGGACTCCAGGAGGCAGGACTGAGAGAGGAGGGAGAGCTGAGGGCCTCCCTGCTCACATCAGGACTCCAGGAGGAGGGCTGGCGGAGAGGAGGGAGAGCTAAGTGTCAGGGCCTAGGCAGTGGGCTGAGCTGCCTCTGAGCTCCCTCTCAGAGCCCCAGTCGTACCTTCTACAAAATGGGGGCCGTTGTCCACCCTTGCCTCTCCCAAGGTCAAATGAGAACATGGACGAGAAGATGGTGGCAAACGGTCGGCACAGGAAACGATCCCACACCTGCTGGAGACCTCGGGACTCAGTCCCCCTGCCCCTGCAGCCCGGCTCACCTGTCCAAACACGTAGAGCAGCCCAATCGTGCCTCCGGTCTGCCCACCCAGGACCGAGGAGATCATGGAGTAGACGCCACCACTGCCAACGCCACAGTGCTCCCCGACACCAATGCCAGACAGCACGGTGACGAGGGCCACCAGGATGACGAATGACACCAGAAACATGCCCATGAGCACTCCTGTGTTCCCCTGCAGTGGGACAAGGAGAAGGCCAGGGGTTAGGAGAAGGAGGACCCGCCAGGTCAGCCCCTCCCAGGAGCACTGACCAGCTCCCCCTACACCCCCAGAGGCGGGACAACTGGAAAAGGACAATGGTAGCACCACAGGGGTAAGGCCTGGCAGAGTGCAGATGAAGGGAAAGGTCCCTGCTTCAAATTCTTCAGTGACTTCCCATCCCCCACAGGATCACGGCAAAGCTACTTACTAACACGCTGATGAGGCCCCTTCTCTGTCTGCTCTCCACCTCCCAGTCCCCCCAAGCACTCTGTGCCCCCGCCACCCCGCCCATGCGGGTCCCCTGCCTGGAAGGCATTTCCTGCTCAAGTCCTCGCCAGGTTCACTGCACCGTGTCCTCAGACTCCGTGCTCAGGAGTTTCCTCCCCCAGGAAGACGTCCTGCACCCTCCTCCCGGCTCCTCCAGCACCTCGACCTCCAGCATCACACGGGGTCTGTCTCCAAGTCGGCCTCACCTCTGGGCTGCGAGCACCAGGGGGGCAGGATTACATTTATTCAGTTTCTCACATTGCTGACTTTATATATATATATATATATCCTCACCCGAGGACATTTTTCCATTTATTGTTCAGAAAGAGTGGGAGGGAGAGAGAGGAAGAGAGAGAGAGAGAAACATCGATGTGAAAGGGACACATCGAGTGGCTGCCAACTGCACGACCAGCCAGGGCCGGGGACAAACTACAACCGAGGTACATGCCCTTAGTGGGAACCAAACCCAGGTCTCTCTGGACTGCAGGCTGATGCTCTAACCGCTGAGCCAATCCGGCCAGGGCTATATTTTTAATGAAAGTATATAATTACTATTTTCCCTTTTGTATGCGCTGTTAAATGGTCGGTATGTGATAATAAAACATCCTGTACCAATCTTTAAGTTTTCATACCCAAACTACCACTTTAACATTTTCCAAATTAGAAGTATGCCGACAAATTATTCTTTAGCGTTAATATTGTCTATTTTAAAACCATTTTGGCATGACCTCTACTTGCTCTAATTTTATGCCATCTCCTAGAAACTCGGCCTTATTTTTGGCATTTCACATTTGCCTTTTTCCCCCGTGACCAAATATGATTTTTCAGGTGAAACTAATGGCAGAACTAAAAACCAGATCACTTTAGGGCGAAAGGACAGGTCTGTGTAGCAGGAGCCTCAAAGGCAGCCCCGGTGACCCCACCCACACTCGAGCCTTGGATGTAAAAAGACTGTGGCTTCCCCTCGGGCCTTGCTCACTCTCATTGTTGCTCAGGCTGCTGGCCCTGGGGAGGTGGCTGCATGGAATGAGCAACTCTGTGAAGGGGCCCAGTGACAAGGCCTGTCAACAACTATGCAAGTGACCTTGGACTCCAGGGTCCTGCCCCAGGAAGGCCTCCAGATGAGACTGCGGCCCTGACTAACAGCTCAACTACGACTCCATGACAGACTGAGCAGAGGCACCAGCTCCTGACCCACTGAAACTACAAGAGGACATACTCATTGCTCTAAGCGGCGAACTGATGGGCTAGTTAGTTAGGCAGCAAAAGATAATGAATACAACCGGTACTTTCACTTTGGGAACAGAACTGACACCTCTGAATAGCCATTTCTCCAAAAAAAAAAAAAAAAAAAAAAATAGCCCAGTGAGAGGGTTCGGAGGAGGCCCTTAAAAATCAGAACAGAGAAAGGTTACCCTTCCTCCTCCCACCATTCCATAGCCACCCCTGCAGGAAGCAGAGCCCGTGGCCCAGGCTGGCGCTGGCCAGGCCTTCTCTGCCGATGCTCAGCTGATGGGCCTCCCTGGGACAAGGCTGGAGAGGTGCTGGGCACCCAGGAGGCCCTCAGAAAGGGCAAAGACAGAGGTCGATCCCAGAAACCCGAGACTGTCGCCAGGATGACAAGTCTGATCAGGAGACTGTGTTTTTGTCATTGGGAGTCCCTGTAGGCTTGGGGCAGGGAGTGTTGTGAAGGGCATGAATTCTTTTTTTAAAATTTTTTTTCTTTATTGATTTGAGAGAGAGAGAGAGAGAGATAGAAGCATCCTTGAGAGAGAACATTGATCGGCCGCCTCCTACAGGGCATAAATTCTTAGCATCCACACCAGAGAGGTTGCCCTAAGCTTTCCACATGTTAGTAAAGGAAAAATACGACCCACACTGGATATGGCTAAGGCTGAACCTGGGCCAAGGGCTTTTTAAAAGGATGCTTCTACTTTATTTTTAATTCTCACCATTACAAGTATTGGATTCTGCAAGATCATAGTTAAAACTCTGTGGTATGAAATATCAGTTTATATACACATAAAAGCTAAATTTTAAAAGTTCAATTTTTGTCTGGCGCGTGGCTCACTGGTTGAGTGTCAACCCTGCACCAAGAGGTTGCCGGTTCGATTTCCAATCAGGACACATGCCCAGGTCATGGGCCCAATCCCCAGTAGGGGGCATGCAGGAGGCGGCCGATCGATGTTCTCTCTATTTGATGCTTCTATCTCTCTATCTCCCTTCCTCTGTCTCTCTCTCTCTAACACCAATAAAGAAAAAAATTCAATTTTAGGCTCTCTGATACTAAATTAAAATGTATATGAACATGTGAAGTATGAAACTTGAAAAACCTAAATGAGTCCTAGCCAAGTTGCTAAGTGGTTAGAGCATCGGCCCTGGGACCTAAGGGTTGAGGGTTCGATTCCCAGTCAAGGGCACATACCTGGGTTGCAGATTCAATCCCTGGTCCCAGTTGAGATCATGCAGGAGGCAACCAATTGATGTGTCTCTCTCACATCAATGTTTCTCCCTCTCTCCCTCCCTTCCACTCTATCTAAAAATTAATGGAAAAACATCCTCGAGTGAGGATTAAGTAACAACAACGAAAAAAACTAAATGATAAAAACTTGAGGTAGTTAAGTATTCATTGATATGTTTGTTGCCTTTACTATAGACAGTATATATACAGTAATTAAGTATATATACAGTACATATACAGTAATTAAGAATGCAGCTATTTTTGAGTCTACAAGTCAGATGCTATCAAGCAAACTGCCATGTAATCCTTTTAAATATTTAACTCAATAACAAATTGGAAAATTCAGTAAAATGTAATTTTCCAAATGTTCTTAGCAAGAATTATCAGCAGCATCCTCCAGTTATAAAACAGTTGGATAATCTGTTTACTCCAAATGAGTAAGACAGCAATGAGAGGCTCTGATCTTTCATGGACTCTTAGCTCAGGGAGCAGGACACGAGCTGAGGATGATCTGGCCTAACCCAGGCCTCCTGAGGCGACTAAGAACCCCATACACCCCACTACAGGGAAGCTTTAATCTCCTGGGATTTGCCTATGTAATGGTTAATTTTATGTATCAACCTGGCTAAACTATAGTGACTGGTCATTTGGTCAAATGCTTTGGTCTAGATGTTGCTATAAATGTATTTTTAAGAGATAATTAACATTTCCAATCAGTTGACTTTGAGGAGATTTCCCTCCATAACATGGGTAGGCCTCACCAATCAGCCGAAGGCCTTGAGAGCAAAGACTAGGGTTTCCCAAAGAAGGAGTTCTGTCTCCAGACTGCGACATAGACTTTCTGCCTGAGTTTCGGCCTTTGCACTCAAGCCTGCAGCATCACTTCTCAGTTAAATCTTGCTTGTCCTACCGATTTTGGACTTGCCAGTCCTCACAGTCATGTGAGCCAACTCCTTAAAATAAATCTCTCTCTCTCTCTCTCCTCATATACAGAGTTAGTTGTATGGTTTCTCTGGAGAACCCTGACTAATGCATTCCACACCTTGAATGGCCCCTCTCTCTCTCACCTGTCCAGTCCAACTCCCCTTCCAACACCTGCTGCAGCCCCACCTCCTGCAGGAAGCTTCCCTGGACACCTCCGCAAGCATACATTCACAGCTTGTCCCGCTCTCGAGAGATGTGATGCTGCTTCCAGAACTCTCTTGGGTTCCTGATGTAAAATCTAACCACCATGGCTGTTAAACTCACCAGGGAGAGGGATGGGGTCTTAGGTTTTGTAATCCAATTGGGATGTAGTGGTGCTTGGCACACACTGGGTGCTCATCAGTGATTCCCAATAGGCTGTTCTTTTGTTCTGAGCAGCCTGTTGAGTTTACCGACGTCCCCGGAGAAGGCACTGCATGAAGGGCTGCAGACCTGCTCCAGACACACCTCTGCTTGGAAGGTCCCAGGATGCTTTCATGTGAGACATAAAAAAGAGGCCCTGTCCCTTCAACAGAGGAAGACAAACTGACCTCCACAATCTCCCGTAAAAGGTGTGCCCCAGCTAATCTGGCCCCGAGTGTAGGCAGTGTGCATCTCTGAACACGTCTCCCCGTGCACAGCCTTAGACATGGGGTTAGGGTGCAGTAGGAGAGACAACCACATGGGTGAGGAGCTGGTACCACCAGGAGGGCACCGGACCAGTGGAAGAAGGCCAGGGAAGTCGGAGAGGGTCACAAACCGCAGGCAAACTTAACCCCTCTGACCACCTTAGGCCACCGGCGAGGTGCCCTGAACTCTGTGCTCATACTTCAGTAGTTAAAGCCAAGATGAGGTTTGCATGGGAACCTCTGAGTGAGGCCCAGCTTCTCAGGGTTCTCACTGTAAAAGCAACACTAGCCATCCATGTACTTCCTTCTTATTTCATGTTTCCAGAGCCTCTGTGCTTCAGGAATGTCACCTGCACCATGGAATGTCCAAGGGTGACAGAGCTTCCCGTGTCACAGGCCACAAGGGCTCCAGGGCCACTAAGCCATCACTCACCACCAGCCAGCCGGTCCTCAAGAAAAGGACAACCCCAAAAATGTTGATCATGCAGGACGTGAACACACCATCCCAGGTTCCGAACAGCACTGGCTCCCATACAAACAACGGGGTCTTCCACCAGGGCTGGGGCTGGGCCAGGGCCCCCTGGAAATGGAGCACATGCAGGTCAGCTCAGCGGCACTAGGGAGGGCCGGCAAGGGGAAGGGGGAAGCAGGAGGCAGGAGAGCTCAGCCCTGAAACACTCCCAGCTTGGCCGGCAGCTGCTGTGCCCACAGCCAGGCCCGAGGCTCCGTCTGCAGAAGGGCCACTGTTCTCTCCCAGCAGCAGTGATGCCCGTGCCCACGCAGAGCAAAGACGGCCCCTTTCCTTCTGGCCACCCCATAGACTACATTTCCCAGCTCTGCGCAGTAGGTGTGGCCCCGCGACTGAGTCCTGGCCCCTGGATACAGCTTGAAGTGCTACTGCCACTCGTGGGTCCCTGGCAGCCCTCCAGCCCTAGCACCTCCCTGGCTTTGGGGAGCCTTACTTTACTCTGTTTGCTGCTGTGGTCCTGGTGATCCCTAACCCCTTCCAGGGTGCCAAGGCATCATATGGCAGCTGTCTGGAATCAGAGGCTAATGAGTAGCTACACACATACCGTCCTCATTTTTTCAGTTCAGAAATGACGAAAGCACTTAAGGAATACTCGGATGGAAACGTTTTCCTACAAAGACTACACCTTGCAGAGATATTGAAATGATCTTATGTAAAACCAGTAGCAACGCGTGCTGTGAACTCTTGCAGAGGCTTGGTACGGAAACAGGACGTCAGCAGAGCCCTCCGACACCCTCAGCGACCACAGCGGTGGTCACTGAGTCTCACCCAGGAACGCTCTGAGACCCACGATGACCCACTGTGTGCAATGAGTCTACCTGGTGTGTGCCGGTGATCTATAAACACAGTGAACATAGAGAAAATCAAGAGTGCAGGGAGGCCCTGGCCGGTTTGGCTCAGCGGTTAGAGCGTCGGCCTGCGGTCCTGAGAGACCCGGGTTCGGTTCCCGCTAAGGGCACGTACCTCGGTTGCAGTTTGTCCCCGGCCCTGGTCGGTTGTGCGGGTGGCAGCCACTCGATGTGTCCCTTTCACATCGATGTTTCTCTCTCTCTCTCGGTTCCTCTCCCCCCCCCCCCACTCTACCTGAACAAAAAATGGAAAAATGTCCTTGGGTGAGGATAAAAAAAAAAAAAGAGTGCAGGGAGAAGTTTGAGGTCAGAGTCGCGGGGCACAGGTGGCTGGGAACGTGGGTGTGCCTGAGCCCCAGGGCCAGAGGCTGGGGGCAACTGTCCTTGCTCAAAACAAAAAGAGGGGCTCCCAGCCCCCTTCCCCTCTTATAGCACACGCCCAGACCAAGAAATCATCAAGGATGTCACTGAAGCCACAAGGACAGATGAGCCGGGGCACTCACTCCTTGGTGGCCCCGTCTGTCCCCGACCCCAGCCGGACTCCTTCCGCTGTGTGTTTCTGCACGTGTCCTTCACAAACCGCAGATGAGGAATCTCTCGAATAGATGCGAGAGCAGTGGTCGTGACTCAGGGTGAGGACCCTGCCAGCCTATGCCTGTCCTCGAACAAATGGCACCAAGGGACCGGAACGCAGGATTGCTTTCAAGGATCATAATCTCAGAACCCAGGACAAGGCCCAGCTTCCTGTCTCGGCTTGTGCGCAGTTTCCTACCCGGGCTGTTACAGGCCTATTATGTGTTAGAAAGAGTGATAAACAACAGCAAGTATCAGCCACAAAGAGCAGTAATTTAAAGTGCTTTCAGCTTCCACATCAACTCCCTCCTTTGATTCTGACGACAGCCCTGGGAGGCAGGCAGGGAGAGCAGCCCTGGTCACAGCCAAGGAGGAGATGCCGCTGCCCGGGCCACATGGGCTCCGAACCCTGCGGTCACCCTGTGAAGGCTGGACTTGGCCCTGCAGGCGTCCCGGTGACCGCCGGTTACCTGCCCTCTTCTCTCCTGACTTCGATCTTCCAGATTGCAATCTCTAACATCCTAGAACTGGCTGTACTGTGAGTACACCTGCCTTAACCCTAAAACTCCCACTGAGATTTTCGAAACGTTATTCAGCTGTCATCCCAGCCTTCCTAGTTCCACGCCGAAGGCTGCTGTGCTTCCGTGCTTGTTTACCTAAAGTTGTCTAAAAAGCTTTTCATCCCTGGGTCTCGCTGGACTAAATCAGCCTTAAAGGTGCTTCACAGATGAACGAGGTAGAAACTTTAGGAGACACTTTACCCCGAGGAAGAAAGTGCAAATGGGGTGAACTGGGTTTGCTGGCTCAGCCACGACAGCGCACTTCGAGAGGTGTAGGGGGGGGTGCCCACCTTTTTGATCAAGTGACAAAAGGGTATAACTAAGTCTTCACAGAGCCTGATCATCAGACTCACAGGGAGAGCCTGTTTGAGCCCAAGCTTGCAGCCCTGCTGTTTTTCAAGAGAGATACTGATCCAAGCCGAGAGAGAGAGAGAGACAGAGAGACAGAGAGACAGAGAGAGAGAGAGAGAAAGAAGAAGAAGCAGCACAGAAAGAGGAACCGAGGCTGAGAGAAAACTCTAGAATAAAATGCCAAATAGGTAACACAGAGACAACCAGGGATGTCTCCCGGCCTCCCTGCGCGGACACGCTGCCTCCAGACAGCAACATGGAAGCCCCAGCTTGGATGCCTGCTTCTCACCTCTCCTTCATCCCATCCTCCAGCCTCCCCCCTGCGGGATGCCTCAGCCTTTTCTACTGCCCCGGGCTGACATTTTAGGGGAGTACTATCTAGACGGCTACCTTGCATAGTGACCACCTGGGTCATGTCCCCATGGTGGGCTGGAACTGGTGTCACACTCACAGCAAGCGCTTCTCGGGCACCAGCTGGACGTCCCACAGTTCAGCTCAATCCCGACACTATCTACGCAGAGCCGGCATCCGGTCCTGCAGGTTAGGGCTCAGTCCTACAAGACAGGGACTCCCCCTCCTTCCAGATGCCAACCGCAAGTCCAAGTTGTCACTGGGCTTCTGGCCCCCAGGCTGATGGTCGGAGGTTAACTCGACCCCGCCTTGAGTTCAGTCAGTTTGCTCGAGTGGCTCATAGCACTCGGAGAATCACTTGACCTTCTCGACCACCAGCTGACTGTAAAGGTCGTAACTCAGGAACTGCCCGAGGAAGAGACGCACAGGGCAAGGTGAGGGGAAGGACAGACAGACACCCTCGGGGCTGCCACTCTACAACCTCCACGTGGTCGCCAACCCAGAAACTCTCCGAACGCTCTCCTTGTGGGTTTTTATGAAGGCTTCGTTACATGCACACAGTTGATTAAATCACTGGCCATTGGTGACTGATTCTACCTGCAGCCCTTCGCCCTCCCCTAAAAGTTCCAACCCTCTCATCACATGGTTGGTTCCCTTGGCCACCAGCCTCCATCCTCAGCTGTTTTCCAAAGTCACCTCATTAACATCAACCAAGTTGTGGTTGAAAAGAGGTTTGTCAAGAATATCAAGATACCTTTATTGCTCTTATCACTTAGAAAATTCCAAGGGTTTGGGGAACTCTGTGCCAGGAATGGGGACGGAAACCAAATATGTAGTTCTTATTAAAAATCACAGCGTCACAACCGGCGAGGCCCAGCCCGCCCTGCTCTGCTCTGCCGGCTCGCCCCGTGCCCCTGCTCACCCAGGCTGAGGGCAGATCCATGAGCTGCAGCAGAAGCCGACACCCTACAGGGGACCTACTATCCACTTCTCCCCAACAAGCGACATGTGGGACCTCACAGCTAACTCCCTCCTCTAGGGGAGGGTGAGGGGCTCCCTCTCGTCTCGAACACACCCTCCCACACAGATCACGGCTCACAGACCCTCCCTTTGCATCTCTACCCAGTCAATTCCATCCCAGGGAGGGGAAGGGGACACAGCTGGGTGACAGGAGGTGACAGCTGGGCCAGTTCTGGGCTGTCTTGTTAGGCTCCAGGGAGAGGTGTGGTCCCAACTGTTGATCACTCTCTCTATCTCAGACTGGGGCTCCAGTCATCAGTTCCGGAACAACAGGAGTCCCGGGCGGCAGTCTAGGGCAGACACACAGGCTGAGGGAGGGGACCAGGACAAGTGTCGTGCCTCTACCAGCATGCAGAGGTGGGGACGATGACGAAGGGGAGCGAGGAGCCAGGAAGGCCCTCGGGATGCACGCCACACAGACTCGAGGACAGCCTTGGCAGGTTCGGGGGCACCGGACTTGGAGCGGGGCCCAATGATTGCACCTCCATGCTGCTCTTTGCTAGGGTGTTCCTTCCCGAGCGCCCTTGTGCCTCTGAGCCCAGGGGCCTGCACCCCACACGGCGAACACCACGGCTGCCTGGTGGGTGTTTCAGTTCCGAGGTAGAAGTCTGTCTCTTGTGAACGGAGAATCTCTGCACTGAGCGGGGCATCTAGAAAGGGGGGCGGGGAGGGTGCACCCGAAAGGTGCCCAGAGGAGGAAACCGCTCCCTCCTGCTCCCACCGTGCCACTGGGTAAGGGAAGTTCCACCACAGGCCTTGCTGCGAGCTCACTCTCCCCAGGAGCCTTGTCTCAAACAGCCGCCGCCCGCCCGCAGGCCACCTGCCAGGCCGCGGAGAACACGCCTGAAATGTGAGATGACACCGTTGCTCTCCTTTGGCAGCTGGAGGAAAAGAAACCAGGTGAGAAACCCTGCTCTGCCCGCTCAGGTCAGGAGCGGGTCAAAGCAAGACGCGGCCTGCCTTCCTAAGTACACCTGCGGAGGCTGGCTCTGCCCGGACCGCGAGCCAGCGGGGTGCTTTCTGAAAGCTGCTTAGCCATTAATTACACATCAGAGAAAACCCACGCTGCGCTGCACTGTGATCCGGTGGGCACAGTGGGCACAGTGGGCACCACGCTCCCTTCCTCTGGCTCTGAACAGGGCCCACCCGTGGTGGCCGAATGAGGTGCAGGCGCCGCACACCTGCAGCGGGAGGGTTTATACAGTTCAGGTGAGATGATCCTTGTGAAAGCTTTCCATGAGCATGAAGCACAGCGTGAATGTAAGTGTGAGCAAGGGTGTCCTCGGGGAAGCTGGGAGAAAGAGAAGGGAAGAGGTCTTATTGAGGAAGCATTTTCTCTTTTCCCGAC